GGCGTGCGGGCGCAGCTTCCTACGGGAGAGGGCAGGGAAGACCGGATGGCGTCTCTTAAACTGGAGCCCTGCCTGCGTTTTTCTGGCGGGATGGCCCTCCCCTCCCCCATCCCGAAGGCAGTTCCACCCTCTGCGGAGGACGCCTTCGCCCCCGCTCGCCTCGGCCCCCTGCTGCTTTTTTCCTTGCGGTGCCTTTAGAGTACGGCCTTGAGAGTCCCGCTAGTCGCCGGGCCCGGGTGGGGCCGGTACGTGGTGCGAGGGTGGGGACGACTGGGTCCGGGTGGCTCCTGCGCAGCTCCTTCGGGCATCTGGGCCCCGGACGCCCGTCGGTGCCACGCTGGCCCTCTGGCCCTGCGGGGCGGCATCTTGACCTTCCGGCAGCTCACCCCGTGCCCGCGCCGCGAGCTGCAGCCATCAGGCGTCGGTCCCGGCTCATAAGTCCCCAGCCAGTAGCCTAAGTCACTTGTTAGGGTGCATATATATGTAAAACCCCGTTTGGTTTTATTTTTCGGTACCACCTAGGGACACGAGTGGTTTGAAGCAGTTCATCTCTTTGCAAAGAGATAAAGAGTTGTACTTCAGCAAAGATTGATTCTAAGTTGGACATATAGTGGGGTTCTAGTTCAAGTTTTCCTGCAGCATCTTTGTTTTATTTATTTTAAAATCTGAAAAATATATACTTGTTTCAAACTAAGGGTGGAAAAGAATGTGCTTTTAAAACTCTAGTATAAAATAGCTTTTTATTGTAAATGCTTGTCTTTTGTTTATACCAATTAGGAAGAAAGTATTTACATTGCGTGAGAGGCCTTTAAAAGGTTGAAGTATTTAACATGTGCTGACTGCCTGTTATCTGTAGTTTGGCTTGCACGTAGACGTTCTTATTGTTGAAAAGTGACAGGTAGAAAGATACTGACGTGTTTTGTAAGTTGCCTTTTTAAAAAATGTTTTAGATGGTATGATCTCCTTTTGTAAATGTAAAATATATATGAGTACTTTAGCTTGAGAATATATGTAGACGTCCATCTGTACACCAGAATGTTGACAGTGGTTTTCCTGGATGAATAGATTCTAAGTGATTTAATTGATTTACTTTTTTTTTCTAATTTTACAGCAATGTTATATATTACATCTGTAGAGTTTTGTTATGTTTTTGTTTGTTTTAATGGAGGTACTGGGGATTGAGCCCAGGACCTGGTGAATGCCAAGCATACACTCTAACCACCTGTGGTGTGTTTTTTACGTGAGGAAGGGGGGTTGAATGAAAAGTTGTATATTCAGAATCTGCCCAACAAAAGGAGTAGCGAGCAGATGTTTTTATGACATCCCTAAGTAAAAATCCAAACTTCCTCATCAGGGCAGTTATACGAACAACAGGCACACAAAAATATTTGCTGAAATGATGGATGGAAGCATTTTTAGTCTTGAGTGGGCATTTTACCATCTTGCTTAAAGGAGGTCTGATAAGTGTTTCAATATTGTTCAGCCCTAAGTAGGAGTCAAACATTTCCTGCCATCAGGGTGAGCCTATTCCTTTCACCTGATGGTCTGAATCCTAGCCAGCTTGCAGCATTGATTTTAATTCCATGTTTGGTTTCCTTTTCTTGCTCTTTTGAAAGAATTTGAAGTGTTTGACATGCTTAGCTGACAGTTTTCGGTGTTCTCTCTGATACATTTAAAATATGAAGTATAAAGCTTTTAACTGTTAATTCTGGAAGTATACAAAGGAGGTATTAGTAATAAATCTGAGATTTTAGTTTATTGCATAAACATGAAAACAGCTTTTCTTTTGATTTTTTAATGCACTTGATGGGGGTAGACTCAAGGAGCATTGTGTTGTTAGGTGAGGTTTTATTTATATTGATACCATTTCTGTAACTATCATGGTCATCAGTTTCTTTGGGCAGTTCCCTTCCTCTCCCAGTTGGTGGCTGAATAAGAACTGGAAGCAAGATGTAACTTGCTGGTAGCAGTGATTAGCAATGAAGATTTGCTCACACAGTTAGATGTTCCAAACCCAGGAGTCAGAAGACATGCTTTTTCGCTGCTGGTTCTGCTGCTTAATTGACTTGACTTTCACTGAGTCTGTTTCCTCATCAGTAAAATTGGGGCCGGTTCGATGGTAGCCCTTCTGTGTGCCCCCATAGGATTGTGTGAAGATCAAATAAAATAAGGGAAATGCAAGAACCTAAACAGCACTACTAAGTAAATGATCACATCACGTGTAGTGCTGATATACCCAGAACTTAGTGAAGCAGCAAATATAATATGTCCACATCAAGTTCCTTACCAGTAGAAACTAGATGGTCTTAGTAATGATGCCAGGTTCTACCTGCTCTGTACATATATATCATCTTGGTGATAAGAAAAGCAGCTTATTAAGCTGGTAGAGAAAACCTCACATTTCTTTTTCTTACTTTCCCACTGCTACGTGGAAAGAACACAAATCTGAAATGGAGGAGGCAGTTCTGATTCTAACACTAATCTATTACTTGAATTGGGGTGATCACTTTACCTCCCTATTTGTTTCCAAAACTGAAATAAAGGGATTGAAAGCATAAACCTGAAAGTCAATTCGATTTTTGTTCAAATCCTAACCCTAACACTTATTAAGTATTCCTCTATTTATGCCTCAGTTTCCTTATCAGTAACAAAGGGTAAATGGTAGGGATTTTGACTGTTGTGGATTTTTGCAAATGATGAGATTAAATGAAGTTTGTACACAGCACGGTGTGTAATTGGTGCTCAGTAAGTGATCATTTTTATTTTTATTTCTGAATAATCTAAAAGGATTTAAACAGCGTAAGGTCTGTGATTTGCTATTGGCTTTCATTATATTGGCTTTCATCATGGCTGAATAAATTAATGCAGACTTAAATTCCTATTTTGATGTTAAGATATAGCTATAGCGTTAGAAGGTAAATTCATTTCAAAGAAATATGACACATATTTACATGTAGTCACATGTGTATCAATAGATACATATTTTAGTACTTTAATACTGTATGTTCAAAGTAATATTATACTTGAGTTAATTCTGTATAACTTTTCAGTTGATTAAAGATCTGGTACCACTGTATTCTTGAGTCTCAAAAATGAACTACATTTTTGCTTATATGACTTCTGTCATGCTTTTTCTACAGGCATTTTTTTCCATCTGTGAAAACTTCCCTGTAATTCATTTTTCCTCACTTCAGTATTAAGAATTATACCAAGTAAGTGGGATATAGTAAAGCTAATGAGTCACTTTATAACAGTCCATGGGAATATAATCATTCAATGGCTGCCATACCTGTTTTGTTCTCAGTATAATGTTGAATGTGATCTCTTAGGTAAGAAAAGGATTTTTTCTTGAAAATTATATTGTGAACTTCTATAAGATGAGCACTTTATTCTGGAAGCCAGGGAGTCAATACAGATTTGTGACAGTATTTTTTTAAGGGAATGTGTCTACCTGTAGTGTCAAAACTGTATCAGAATATTCCCAATTATAAGAAATGTACCTGTAAAACTCTTAATATGGTGCTGTAGGCACAATTAGTCTTTTATAAAAAATAATTTAAGCATAAGATTTATTGTAATTATCCCATTCTCACAATTACATGAACATTTGAAAAAGAGTTCTTGACCTCAGTAAGAAAGAAAACAGAACTCGGTGTCCTCCTTTAAACTTGACCAGAAAAATAAATGCAAAATACAAGCAAAAGGATTGTTTAACATGCCTCTTATGAAGTGGATTTTCGCATGGTACCCATTTCCTATTACCAGTAACTTCTTTGGTTAGAAATTTTTATAGCAATATTAACAGTTGTTGTCTGTGATACATGTGTTAAATTTTTCCATTTTTAGATTAAATAGATATGAATGAATATCCTAAAAAAAGAAAAAGGAAGACATTACACCCTTCTCGTTATTCAGGTTAGTGTATAATTAAATTATTTTAAAAGTTAGGCCATTAATTCCCATGCAGTTGTGTTCCCATCCATTTTCTCATGAATGATCTGATAAGAGTTAAATATCTGGGTCAATTTTTAGGTAAGAGAAAACTTTCAACTTCTCTGTGTGTGTGTGTGTGTATATATAAAATATATATATTTATTTTACAGACATTTAATCCTCACAACTCCATGGTTTATAGATACTTAAACTTAGATATCTGAGGTTACATACTTATACAGCATAACTGAGATTTGCTTGTGTGATTCCCAAGCTTGTGTATAAGGCACAACAATAACCTTGGTGGAAGATATTTCACATCATTGGGAGAAAACTCTATCCTATACATTATTTTCAGAAATGTGAACTTTCATCCTGATTGTGTAACTTTAGATCCTTTCTTTGAGGTTGGCTCTGCTTTCTTGGCAAATAAAAGGTCTTTGTGGCCATCTGTAATTATTACAGCTCACATACATATACTTGGGACAGTCTCAGGTATACCTGTTACCCAGTCAACCTACACATTTTTCACATATGAGGCAATTGATCTTGGTTTACTGCTTACTGGCCCTCCCCAGGCAAGACTTGAAATTAAGCCCTAACTGGTCCCCAGACCTTCCCCTGTGTATTCACTTTCTCTGCACTACATGGTAGATCTTCTAAGTAGTTAATTCAGTGTTTTCTGCAGTGAACACATTTATCACATATTTATATTTTGTGGGATTCTGACTTAGGCAAATGTATCTTTGCGCTTCAAAGTATTATATTTTAAATTGTAAAATTTATAGTTCTTTCAAACTTGAAGTATCAGATCTGAAATATAAAAGCCTTCAGAATTGAGGGAAATATTAATACTTTATTATAAATACTACGAAAATTTATATATGTTGGATAAACAGATGACTGTCATTAAATGTATGTATGTTTAGTATGCTTGAAATTTTTTTAATTTTGTTTTATGTTTAGATTCCTCTGGAATAAGCAGAATTGCAGATGGATTCAATGGAATTTTTTCTGATCATTGTTACAGTGTTTGTTCTATGAGACAACCAGACTTAAAATATTTTGACAACAAAGGTATACCTAATATTTTCCAAAATATTTTTCTTTAAATTGCTTATATAATTTTTTATTTCTTATTTGAAAATGTGGGTGAAAATGATAATTTCAAGAGCGCAAGTGTTTAAATTTGTTTTAAGAAAACAGAAGAGTTTTGTGTAAGAAAGTAAGTAAGTGAATTTTAATTTTTAACATTATTTCAGACATACAGATCAAAAGCACATCCTTCTAAATCGGTTTTAGTGGGCTAGGAATCAGTGTCAAAGCAGGAATGACCCAGAGCTTGAAGTGCTTATTGTGAAAGGTTAAGAATGTTTTTGTACACAGTTCTTCCACTCAGCTATACCTTTCAGTCTGGAGGACTAATGGAAGGAAAGAACAGAGGATGAAGGATTTGATCATTTTCAATCTTACATTTTCTATTGACTCCTCTTTTCTAGAGCCTTGGATGAATAATAACAATGTGCATTTGTTCTCATCTCCCTCTGTAACCATCAAAACTCCCAATTCCTTTGAGCTCCTATTACAGGCACAGAAACAGAAATTATTTAAAAAACGTGCAGAGTCAGAGACATCAGTATGAACTCATGTTTCGCTTAATATAGAAACAAATAGTTACGTACAGAAACATTTATAGATATGTTTATATATATGTGGTAGTGTACAGGCACATATTTTTTGTTCTGTTAGCTGACAGAGCCTAACAGTAATGACACCTCAGTAGCAATGAGCACATCTAGTGTCCAGATCTTAGTTTCTAATACCATTTTCCAATAAAAGGAATTAAGGCTAGCAGTAGCCTAGAGACATGACAAGTAAATATTATTTGTCCTGGATGGGATCCTGGAATGGGAAAAGGACACTAGGTAAAAACCAAGGAAATCTGGATGAAGTATGGACTTCAGTTAATAACAATGTACCAGTTTTGGTCATTAATTGTAATAAATGTACCATGTTGATGTAGGATGTTAATAGTGGAGGAACTGAATGAAGGATATATGGGAATTCTCTGTACTATCGTCTCTTTTTTTTTTTTCCTGTAAGTTTGAAACTTCTAAAAAATAGTCTGTCTAAAAAAAGACATGATATTGAAGCCCAGTTTTCTCTGCTGACTGGCATTTCAGTTTTTTCATGCACTTGTAACATTGAGGCTTGGCTAAGGGAATAAAGACATACTCAAACTCAGTAATTTAAAGCTAAAATTTCCAAGTAACTTTAAAAAGTGTATTCTAGTCCAAATGGGACATGGAAGGGAAAGTAGTTGCTTGTTTGGACAGATTTTCAATGTGTCTGTGGTACACAGATAACAAGGCTTTTCATAACAAAATCTAAGTCCTTAGTTCTGTTGAAATTCTAAATTATTTAAAACATTTGGTGCTTTGTTTTATAGTAATGTTTAATGCTTTGATATAAATAATTAGTATATTTCCAAATCCCTTTTTACAGATGATGATTCTGATACAGAGACATCCAATGACTTGCCAAAATTTACAGATGGAATCAAGGCCAGAAACAGAAATCAGAACTACCTGGTTCCCAGTCCTGTACTTAGAATTCTAGACCACACTACCTTTTCTGCAGGTAAAGGAAACTAATTAATAGCATTTGCACATTTTGTGTAGATCAGTGAGAAAATAATGAATAAAATAAATTTATTTTTTGCCAATTATCTATTTAATAGGTCTTATTTAATAGTAGTAGTAATAATAATAATATACTTGTTTTATTTTTTTCTAGAAAAATCTACTGATATTGAAATTTGTGATGAAGAGTGTGACTCCCCGGAGTCAGTCAACCAGCAAACTCAAGAGGAGAGCCCTATAGAAGTTCACACTGCTGAAGATGTTCCAATTGCTGCAGAAGTACATGCAATTTCTGAAGATTATGATATAGAGGCAGAAAATAATTCTTCTGAGAGTCTCCAAGACCAAAATGATGAAGAGCCACCAGCTAAACTTTGCAAAATTCTTGACAAGAGCCAAGCTTTGAATGTGACTGCCCAGCAGAAATGGCCTTTACTGAGAGCTAATAGCAGTGGCCTCTATAAATGTGAACTGTGTGAGTTCAACAGCAAGTATTTTTCCGATTTAAAACAACATATGATCTTGAAGCATAAGCGTACTGATTCAAATGTCTGTCGAGTGTGCAAGGAAAGTTTCTCCACCAACATGCTTCTGATCGAACACGCCAAACTGCATGAAGAGGATCCCTACATTTGTAAATACTGTGATTATAAGACAGTCATTTTTGAGAATCTCAGCCAGCACATTGCAGACACCCATTTCAGTGATCACCTTTACTGGTGTGAGCAGTGTGATGTACAGTTCTCCTCAAGCAGTGAGCTCTACCTGCATTTCCAGGAGCACAGCTGTGATGAACAATACTTGTGTCAGTTCTGTGAACATGAAACGAATGATCCAGAAGACTTGCACAGCCATGTGGTAAATGAGCATGCATGTAAGTTAATAGAGTTAAGTGATAAGTATAACAATGGAGAACATGGACAGTACAGCCTCTTAAGCAAAATTACCTTTGACAAATGTAAAAACTTCTTCGTATGTCAAGTATGTGGTTTTCGGAGTAGACTTCATACAAATGTTAACAGGCACGTTGCTATTGAACATACCAAAATTTTCCCTCATGTTTGCGATGACTGTGGGAAGGGCTTTTCAAGTATGCTAGAGTATTGCAAACATTTAAATTCACATTTATCTGAAGGGATTTATTTATGTCAGTACTGTGAATATTCAACAGGACAGATTGAAGATCTTAAAATTCATCTAGATTTCAAGCATTCGGCTGATTTACCTCATAAATGCAGTGACTGCCTGATGAGATTTGGAAATGAAAGGGAATTAATAAGTCACCTTCCAGTCCATGAGACAACTTGATTGTTCTCTTTAACTTCCATAATGTTGATGTAAAATAATAAATTTGACTTTTTTTGGAGATATAAAGATGGATGATTTCAAACATAACTTATGAGAATTGTCTAACAAGATTTTTTTATAGCTGTCCAGTTTCCTTGGCATTGCTACCTTTTTCAGTATATAATTGTGTCCTAAATGTGGTATTTTCAGTGCATTGTAGTTCATAGTTTTAACCACTTTTAGTGACTGCCGTCTTGTTTCTTGCATGTGTTCTGATTTCATAAATTGATAAGAAACAGATGTACTGAAGAAAGTAGACTTTCCTTCTGTAAACAGAGGTGCTGTAAACTTTTTCTTCTTTAAACTCAAAACAAGCTCAGTTTTTTGTGTATGAAGTCATTAAAATACTGCACTACCAGAACTAGAGTGCAACATACATAATACACAGTTAAGTCCATTGATACTCCCATTAATAAGAACAGGACCCTCTTGAATTCCCCATCAGTTTTCCCCAAGGCTATCAGTGAACGCTCCCACCTGTGTGATTCCTTCAGTGACACTAGGAAGCCAGTTTTATGGCAAGAAGGAAAAATCTGGTTTTCTTGGCAGTCTTTTTTTAAATTCTCGTTTTATTTTAGCCCCATCTATGTGTTAAATAATTTTACACGGTGGTGAGGAGGAACTTTAAGGGGCTTAACAATAAAGTAACATTTCATAACTCATTTATAAATGAAACAAGTCATTTATAATCTGTTCACATTTCATTTTCAGTTATGCAACTGCAAAGTCATGCCCAAACTTCTGATAACAAGTCATTTATTTTCTGAGAAAAGCCACTGAAGTGTTAAAATAGAAATAGGAAGATCTGGAAGATAGGGGTTGCTGGTATGATAAGGAATAAATTACTTTTTATAATAGCAAATCAGTCTTAACTCTTATATTGGTTCCCTGTGGCTACCATAACAAATTATCACAGAGTGACTCAAACAATAGAAATTTATTGTCTCACAGTTCTAGATGCTGGAAGTTTGAAATGTTAGCATAGTTGGTTACTTCTGAGAGCTGTAAGGGAAGGATCTGTTCTTGGCCATTCTTCTTGGCTTGTTTATCTCCCTGTATGCAAGTCTATCTCCAACTTCCCCCCTTTTCCGAGGAATGAGTCTTTGGATTAGGGCTTATCCTGATGACCTCACTTTAACTTGACAAAGACCCTATCCCCGAATAAGGTCATATTCTGAGGCACTGGGGCCAAGGACTTCAATATACAGACTGAGATGAGTGAGGCAGAGACAACCACAATTCAGTAACAGTTTCTTAAATAGCACTATCAAGAAGATAGAATTTTGTATATCATTGGCCTCAAATATAAACATTGCTGCTAACAGACAATATTGTTAACAAATATTGATGTAGTTGCAACGACCAATTGTTGACCCATAGTTTTCCTACTGCAAGACCCGTGGGAATTTAGTGTTTAGAGAATGGTGGCAGCAGCAAGTATTTTCAAAACCAATCTTTTATTTTTACTTTTCTGTCTTCTATGCATACCTGTACTCCTAGAAACTACCTTTCCATCTGATTGTAACATTCCAGGTAGAGCTATCTGATACAAATGTTTCTTAGAAGATGTAATTGGAAGAAAACCTTACCAACCATTTGGTCTTAACCCTCTAGGTTTCTAAGTTTCTTATAGAAATAGAAACTTAGGTTATTTTTAGGCCAAGGTCACAAAACCAGTTATAAAAAGCAGGAGTGGAATCCAAGTTATTCAGCTCCCATTCCAATGATGTTTCCATTACATCATGTTACATAAAAACCTAAGCTTTGTCCTTGGGATGTTTTTCATGGCTACTTAACCTAGCCATTCAGCTTCCTTCCTGGTAATTAATTCTGTTTTCACACTTTTTTGATATACATCCAGCTTCAGGAATTTGATTTTCAGAGAACAAACCTTAAGTAATGCCTTGATAGGTTTTTATATTTTTGTATATTTTACAGCCTTACATTTGATCAGGTGTTAGTAATCAAATTAGAGGTTTTAATGAAACTACTCAAGAGACATTAAACCCAAGTTTTAGTACCATATAATGTGCTTTTTGATGACTTTGCAGCTTGAGGACACATCCCAGTGACAGTTTGTCCGATAAAACCTTTCTGCTTTGACTCAGCTTTCAGATAAGCCTGTGACCATAAATTGAGGTAGCAGGTTTATATTTTTGGCTTAACAAACCTACCTAAAAGAAAATTTCTAACTACTCCTGGGTTTTTTCTACTCAAAGACAGACATTTTCACTGTACTCTTCTGTGACTTGAGAGTTCATAACTGATAGTAATGTTTATTAGCATCACAATAGTATTCTTGGCAGCAGTAAACAGTAGTGATGGATCTTTTTTTATTGTTTTCTTTTTTTTATCTTCACCTTTCAATGAGTTGTTATTGTTACAAGTTGAAAATGATTGTGCACTACTCAAAAGTCTCTCTTCTTGCTTATAAATTTGCCAGTTTTAAATCACCTTTCTTAGATTCCTCTGAAGGTGTATTATCACATATTAACCAGTTTCTTAGTTTTACAGGGTCTGTAGAGCCTGTTAGGTGATTGCTGAGTTACTGGCAGGTAAAGCATATACAGGTTTTTTTTTTTTTCAATAAACTAACACTATTCCTAATTTTTTAATCTGATTTTCAAGGCATTAAGTTACTTAATTCCTGACACTTTACAGTTAACCTTACTTAGCTTGTTTTGTCAGTCTTAGTACCTTTTGCAAGCAGGTTAATATATTCCCCAAATACTCTGATTAATTTTTAATGGAATTTTGATGACTTAAAAGCACTATAAGTGACATAAATTTGAAAAAGCTAATAAAAATCAAGTAGCCACAATCCTCTTGGGAAGCAGATTGACTTAAAAAAAATCAATACTATTTATTTAAATGAAATAGTTAAGACCAACTGTAAATCCCAACACAGAAACAAATTTGGTTATTCAGGTTTACACTGCAACTTAACAGATTCATCCCTATAAATTCAAAATGAACTTTCAGATGTATATTCCTTTGTAACTTTCAGTTCTGGTGACTGAAGATACAGAGTATCTACAAGAAGTTTTATTCATGGCATTGAGTTTATGGATTTACAAATATAATATATTGGTTTAGCTTTCCATAAATTAATCTCTTAAGACAACTTCGAGTCTAAGACAAAGAAATATGTACACCTGTAATGTTAAATATAAACTGACAAAGCTAAAGGTTGTTACATGTAATGTACATGTTTATATGACGTTTATATGCTCAATATATAAGTTTAAAAAACTAAAAATCTTAATAGTTGCTTGGAGTCTGCTTCATACTAGTGATTTAAAAAGTAATTTTCTGTATAAAATTTTTCCACATTAAAGCATCACACACCATTTCCGTATTAAGTTTATTCTCTTTAGTAACTTTGGTATTAAACTGGTAACTACCTGAACCCAAAATAAATCATATTTGTGAAAAGTAATTTCTTCATTCTAAAAAGATAATTTTCTCACATTGCTAAATAGAAATACTGTATTATCTACTAGCCTTATTCCCATACCTTAAAAGTGATGGTTATTTAGATACTTTTTAAAATAAATTTTTGTTATCACAACCTTTAAGTTTGTTGTTTATTTTGGGTTTTAAAGAGGCAAACAACTATGACCCAGACAATCTTTTTTCTTACTAAAAATACTGAGCTGAATGAATTATATATTGAAAAATATAATGAAAAGTATGTTTTGAATAAAAACTGAAAGTTTTCTAGTTTTCAATAGCAAGATACTGGCCACCACCAAAAAACATTACAGTTTGAAATAACTGATACTTTTGCCCTTTTTCTTCAGAGTAAGTTGAGATTAGGAATTGGAATCATACCAAAATTAACACAGTAATTAATTTCTGGTGGGTAATTTTTTTTAATCCTCTTTCTAAAGGCCATTTATCATGATGTTTTGAATTTGGAGTTTGGGAGTTTGAGAATATTGAATTCTCTTTTCATGCCTATCATGCACATTTTATTTAGGGCTGCCTCTTCTCTTTATGGCATTATATTTCTTAAACATTGCTCAAACTATATTCTATGACTGATTACCCTCCTCTTTGCAACTTTTCCTCACCTCACTTGGATTTTCAGAAAGTCTCAAAAGTTTAAAATGTTCCCCATTGACAAGGTGAGAATGGACTTATTTTAATTCATCCTCTCTGTTCTCCAAACATTTTTATTTTTGTTTTTTATGTTAATTAGACCATTTCTGTCATTCAGCTTTTTTTTTAAATTGAAGTATAGTCAGTTTACATTGTCATGTCAATTTCTGGGGTACAGCATAATGTGTCAGTTATACATGTACATACATATATTCATTTTCATATTCTTTTTTATTATAGGTTACTACTGAACTGTCTTAAAATAACTTATTCCCTTCACACCATATGCCTTATCACTCACTTCTATACCCTGTAAATATTTTATAAATTCCTGTCTAACAGCAATACTGAATTTATAAATTTCAATGTGTCTTTTTTTTTATTTTTAAGAAGCAGAATATCATGGCACAGATCTTAATACTTCTTTATGGTTAGAAGATTATAGTTAAGTGCCACAAGGTGTTCTTTAGTGAACAACTAAATTGATGAAGTAGAAGAACTAACCTCAAATGACAGAATGTTAGTTTGGGAGAAACCTCAGAGATCATCTAATTCAGACTCATAAAGTGCACAACATACAAAAATAATTGTGTATAGTACATAGTTTTATTTTCACAATTGTAAATTGTATGTTGTAAAATGTAACATCAAATTTGATTCATTAATATTTTTATTTAGGACAGAACTAATTTTTTTAAGCAAGTTGATTTAAAGAAAAACAAGTAAATAATCATACATGGACACGGAAAAATTGGACAGGAGAAACATGAATGAAATTTGAGATTACAAAATTCTGATCTTAACTTCTTGTTTATAGCTTAGAAAAATGATTCTCTAACATCATTAGGCAAATGCTTTTTAAGCTAGAATAAATAGGACTTCCAACTCTCTACCACTCTTCAAAGAATTTTCTTCAGAAAAAGTTAAAATGTGCCCTATTTTTTTCATGGAATGTTATACCAGACAGCTAAAGAGAGAAAATAACAGAATAATACTGGACCATGGTATTTGGCTGTGATTTCTAGTCCCCCTGTTTGCTAAGCATAAATTGTGTAACTATAACCAACATCATGGATGTAATGTTACCAGATTTCTCTCAGTCCATGGAATCTCTGCAACTCCTCAAAAACTTCTAGTTCACTACTAGTCAGTTTAACAGCTATGGAAAATCTACTATCAAGCCATGAGCACAGGGATGCATAGATATAAACTATGGTTCTTGTCCTCAAAGAGATTTACCACATAGGGCAGGAAAATCTGTCACCCTTCTGAAGTACAATTCAGTTAAGTATCAAACTGAGTGCCTTTTGTGTTTCTAAGTATTTGCTTTATATACAAGGCTACTGTAAATATTCTTGTATGTGTTGAGGTGTTTGGGGATTTTGTTCTTTGTTTTCTTGGGGCAGGGATGGGCTTCATATACATATATTTTTTGATTATGATTAAATACTTCTAAAATATCCAGAATGGCTCAAGTTTATACTCTCATCAGCTAATCATATTTCCCTACATGCTAATCAGCAGTTGATATCATACAACTGTTTAATTTCCTGTAAATTTGAGGGGCATAAAGTACCATGTTACTATTGTTTGAATTTGCACTATTGATTACTAATATGATTGAAAATATCTTAATGTGCTCATTTTGGGTTCTCATTTTGTGGGCTGGTCTCCATATTCTTTGTTCACTTTGCTATTGGGTTTTTTGGTTCATTTTCAGAAATTATAAATTTTAAATATTGGTCCATTGACAACACACACTGCAAAAAATAGATTCCCAGACTGTCATTCATCTGTTACAAATGTCTTTTGTTGAAGAGAAATTTTTAAATTTAACGTAGACAAATTCATCACATCTTCCCTTACAGGTTGTGCTTTCTACATCTGGTTTACAGACCCCTCTCTAACCCCAATGTCATAAACCTATTTTCCTACATTTTTTTCCTAGTAATTTTCTGGTTGTACCTTTTGTGTTTCTGAGTTTCTTTGTGTGTAAGAATGATTCAAGTTTTATTTTTGTTCATTCGAGTGAGACAATTTTCTCAATAATATTTGTTAAATGTTGCATCTTCCCCCAGTGATTCATGATACCAGTTTGGTCATATATTAACTCCCCATGGGCATAACTGGCTTATGGATCTGTGTCTATACTCATTATATTCCTCTGTTCCTGCAATAGTATCACATACTTTAACAGTTGCTTTAAACATTATGGCTTTGCAATATGTCTTAATATCAGGTAGTATGAGTTTATTCTCTCTTCTCTTCTTTTTGAGAACTGTTTTAGTTATTGGTAGACTTTTCCTACCTCCATGTAAATTTAGGATTAGTTCAATTTCCATCTAAAGTCTTGTTGGAATTGCATAATAATTATAATCGTTTTAGAGGCACTGGACATATTTACAATGTTAAGTCTTTTCTTTTGTAAACACTGTATAATTCTCCATTTATTCAGGTCTCTTTTCATGTCCTTTAAATTTTTTAAAAATATAGGTTGTTAGCAGTTTTTGTTGAAGTCAATTCCTAGGTTCATTTTTCCCCCCGATTCTTTACAGTTGGTTTCTTTGACATGCTGTCTTATATTCTAATTGGTTGTTGCAGGTATATAGGAAAGCTTCTGAATTTTGAAACATGGATTTTGTATACAGAAACCTTTTTCAGGTTTTAATCTTTTTAGTTCTAATAGCTGTCTTCACTTAATTTTTAACATAAATAATCATATAATCTGCTATATATTACATATGTCTCTTTACTTCCAGTCTATGAGTCCTGAATGGCTCTTTTTTCTTATCATAGAATTTGTCATTACTTCCACTACTATAATGAGCAGAAATAGCATTAGCAGACATTTCTTTAGAGGTAAGACTCCCAAAGTTTTCCCATTAAGTATGTTTTCTGTAGATTTTGGTAAGTAGCCTTTAGCAGGTTTCTCAGTTTTCTAAGACCTTTTATTATAAGTACGTAACGCCTTTTTTTAGCAATGACTTTTTTTGTTGCTATTGAGATAAACGTGGGTTTTTTCCTTTAAGTCTGCTAATATCAATTACATTGGTTGATTTTCTGATGTTGAATTAATTATCTTTGTATTTCTAGGAAAACCCGACATGGACAAAATTCTTTTTATCTAATATGGTGTTGGTTTCAGTTAGCTAAAATTTCACTTCTATATTGTTAAGTGCGATTTTCTTTACTTCTACCTCCTATCCAGCATGGTATCAATGTTATTTTAGACTTATGAGTGGGTTGGGATGTTTCTTCTCTTGTTCTATGCACTGCAAAAACCTGTATGAGATAAGACTAATCTTTTCTTTAAAGATTTGGTAAAAAGTTATCTCTAAAATCATCTAGGCCTGGCTTTTTTTTTTTTTTGTATATATGGGAAATTGCCATTTCAGTTTTTTGAATGCTTATTAGCTTTTTTCCTATTTTTTCTTAGGCTACTTTTGGTATTTGATGGTTTCCCAGAAATTTCAAACTTCATCTGAGTTTTCAAATTTATTGGCCTTTATGATATCATGTATCTAGAGTTATTTCCCCCTTGGTTTGTGTCTTCACTCATTTTGACATTCTTAAACAGATTTGGCAGTAGTATGTCAAACGTGTAAGTTTTTCACATAATTAAATTTTAGTTGTTAATTTCTATTTGTTTTAGCCTCTATATTTTCATTTTTTCCTTCCTTCTTTATGTTTACTCTGCTGGTCTTTGCCTATGAGTCTCCTCCATAAAAAGAAAAACAATGGATTAAATGATTTATTACTTATATTAAAACACTTCTTTTTATAATTTATAACATGCAATGTCATTTTTACTTTGAAATACCAGAATTATATTAAACATGTAGTTATTATTTACAGAACTAACAAAGGGATATCATTATGATTTTAAAAATTCAAGCAATATAAGTAAAACTTCACTTTGAGAGTCCCTATGCTCAAAATTGATTTGAGTGGTTAAGGGTTTCACATAACTATTAATTGGCATAGTCTAGATTTGAACTGAAGTCTTCAGATCAAGACCCATGCTTTTTCATTAAAAGATTTCCTCTTTAATATATATTTGTTGAATGAACATATGATCCCTAAAGTGGTAACTTGCTTTCACCCTTCACATGCTAGTTGATGCTTGAAATTCATCCTTAAAATTTCATTCCTTTTTGCTTAATGCCTTAACATGATTGTAAAATAGAGTGCTTATTGGTCAGGCAAGTACAAAGGAAAGCTTTTGATTACACCATAATTTTGTGCTTTTTAATCCTTTATCTCTTCTCCCCACCCTCCCTCTCCATACCATAAACAAAAACACTTACATAAACAGTATGCTAATCATTTCTGCTAGGAATCCTTAGAATTGCACTTCTATCAAAATGTGTTTCACAATAAAGAAATTTACTGCAAGGAATATAGGGCTGGCTTAGGCAAATCCAAAATATGTAGGGATAAAGATGTGGGGGGTATACACACACACACACACACACACACACACACACACACAGGACTATTACTTAGCCATGAAAAAGGATGAAATAATACCATTTGCAGCAACATGGGTGGACCTAGAGATTATCATACTAAGTCAGTCAGATACAGAAAGACAAATATATGGTATCACTTATTTGTGGAATCTAAAAAATGATACAAATAAACTTATTTACAAAACAAACAGACTCACAGACATAGAAAACAAATTATGGTTACCAAAGGGGAAAATGGTGGGGGGGATAAATTAGGATTTGGGGGGTTAGGATATACAAACTACTATATATAAAACAGATAAACAATAAGGTCCTACTGTATAGCACAGGGAACTATATTCACTATCTGGTAATAAACTATAATGGAAAAGAAATGTGAAAAGAACATATATAAAAATTGAATCACTTTGCTGTACATCAGAAGCACAGTATTGTAAATTAACTAAATTTTAAAAAATTTTAAAGGTGAAAAGGCAAGCTGTAGGCTAAAGAAAATATTTATAATACATATGTAAAAGGTTGAGTAGTATCTCCCAAAAATATATATCCAGGTCCTCACTCTTGATACTTGTGAGTATGATCTTATTTGGAAATGGGGCCTTTGAAGATGTAATTAACTTAAGGATCTTGAGATGAGATCATTTTGGATTTAGGATCCAGGATCCAAAGCCCCATACTGGATCTAGTGATTGGTGTCTGTATCAGAGAAAGGAGAGGGAGATTGGAGACAAACGGGAGAAGGCCATGTGAAGGTTCATCTGAGGATGGAGGCAGAGATTGGTGTTATGTAGCCCTAAACCAAGGAATGCCTGTAGCCACCAGAAGCTGGAAGAGGCAAAGCAACCTCTCCCTAGAGTCTCCAGAGGAAGGTGAGGCCTGCTGACACTTACTTTATAGACATTTGGCATCTATAACTGTGAGAGAATAAATTTTTCGTTGTTTACAAATATATATATATCTAATAATGGGCAAGCCATCATTAAAGGCAGAATGGAAATTCTTGGGCAGGTACTGATACTGCAGTCCACAGACAGAATTCCTTTATTAGAGAAATCCCAGTTCTCCTAAGTCTTTTAACTGGCTGGATCAAACACACCCAGATTACCCAAACTAATCCCCTTTACATAGAGTCAACTGATTGTAGATGTTAATCACAAATACTTTCCCAGCAACACCTAGATTAGTGTTTGAATAACTGCGTACTAGAGCCTACCCATAAAGCAAGTATTATTAGAACTCTGATTTTACAGATGAAGTACCTGAGGCTCAGAAAGATGAAATGGCCTCACTTGCAAAACTGTGCCTCACTTGCAAAACTGCGTCTCACTTGCCAACTCTAGAAAGAAATCCCAGGAATTTCCGTTGAGCCTGTGCAGACTAGCAGCAGCAGCAGCAGCAGCAGCTCTCCACCGATGTTAGAAAAGCACTCTCCCAATAAATCAGAATCTGCAGCTTAACAAAATCCTCCAGTACAAAATTCCTAAGTACAAAATTTGAGAAGCACTAGTCAAGAATACATCAATTTTCTAAGTTTCACCTGTAATTCAACAAGCACCCACCCACGCACCCACACACAGCTATACTCCAAGCTCAGGAAGTAAATCACGCAAGAATACAGGGTAGTGAAAAGGTCAAAAGGTTTTCCCTTATCGCTGCTGGCCCTGTAAGCTGGAATCCTTCTGGTCCGGCACCCCGACCCCACCTTATCTCATCCCACCCCTCCTCCTTTTAGCTCTCCTCACTAAATCAGCCACTGGCAGCTAGCTACACCTAGGCTGGGCAAAGCCTTGGAAACTTTGAAGGGAGAGGGAGGGGAAGCACAAGTTGGGGGTGAACGGAAAAGCATTCTTCTGGTAGCATTCCCTGCCCACAACTTCTTGCCTTCTGCCCGGAAGAAAAATGGTGATCGGCGTAGACACACTTCCGGCTACGGAGCCAAACAAAATCGGGGAGGACATGAGACCGGAAGTGACCGCCCTCTTGCCTCTACTC